GAAACCATTTCGACCAAAATCAATACTCCGAAGTCTAGAAGCATTTGACAACGAGGCAGGAATATTTCCTGTGAATCTGTTGCGACCACCAAGAAATAGTTCAAGATTGGGAAGAGTAATACCAACATTTGGTGGTAGCTCACCCTGCAGCTGGTTTCCAACAACACTGAAAACATATATGGAAGATATGTTATAGATTGAAGCAGGAACCTTACCAGACAAGTGATTCCCTGCAAGTACGAATCTCCCCAAGGCTGTTAGGCAACCGAGCTCATTGGGTATGCTTCCTTGAAAATTGTTGTGAGAAAGACGAAGACTATTCAAAGATGAAAAGTTTCCTATCCAACCTGGGATGGTTCCAATGAGATTGTTAAGAGAAAGCCATAGATGATTTAAATTCAACAATGAACTCAGTTGGTCCGGAATAACCCCAATAATCTCATTGGAAAAAAGATCCAGCACACTTAGTTGTGTACAGTGAGATATATTAGTTGGAATATTCCCGCTAAAAGAATTGTAAGACAGATTGAGATATTGCAGGCTCCGTAGACGACCCATTTCTTGAGGAATTTGGCCATGAAAGTTGTTGATTCCCAGGTTGATCCAGGTCAAATGAGTAAGATTTCCTATAGAAGGTGGTATGGAGCCTCCCAAGTTCTGAGCTTCCAGGTTCAAACTCAAGACTCTTGTTGTGGAATGGTTACACGTAACGCCAATCCAGCTGCAGAATTTGATGGAATCATTCCAGGAGCTCATGACATGGAGAGGATCACTAGTGATTCCTTTCTTGAAATCTAGCAGAGCCAGATGATCAGTTTCGTTTCCGAAACTAGTGCTGGGCAGTGTTGCAGATTCCAGAGCTGTGCTCATGCACAAAATTAGAATGAACCCATGATAGAATTTAAACAAAATCAGCCTACCATGAGAACTACGTGAATGCTCCATCTGTTTCTTAACAGAGAGCAGCTCAAAAACCAAGTATCATTCATTTACCCCGAATGCATTTAAAAGAAGAAATCTTATCACATTGAAAATATCTTGATTGCAATTTGCATGGTCACCAAGAATTTGAGACAGTAACACTGCAACGGTGGGACCAAAAAAGTCAGCTCCCGCCTTGTTTGGCAAGGAGTTTTGAGGTTCAAATTAATCCGTAGCTCCCGCTGGGACCAGACGCATTTCAAACAATGATGAAGTCGACATTGGAAGACAAACCGACCAGAAACTAAAGTCAACATTCAAACCCAAGACGCGTTTAAACTGAAGAAGGTCAAAAACGAAAGCGACTTCCTGATCCTACACTTCATGAAGAAGCTCAATCCTAGGCAATCCTAGGCAAATGTGAAGAAGTTGAGGGAAAAAAATAGTCCTCAACGTTTTGGAATTACATGCAAACTAAGCCTACAATGCATATGAATGGGAGAAATTGATTACAGTGATTTAGAACAATAATGTAATTTACTTATTTAATTTCATTAAGGACATTAGATTTTTAAATAGTTGGGAAGCAATTCATGCTTATACTTACATACATCTGGGTGCCTTTGCCTCATCTAGATATATGCTTCTTTGTCTGGGTTACTAGCTCTTGTCTTTTCTCTCTTCTGCGTCGTGCTCGGTATCTGGTTTTTCGCTTTCTATTTCCGCTGGCCTGTGTTTGTTTGTGGTGGTCACTGGTCAGTGGTTCGCTCGCCGACATTGCTCTGTATTTCATGAGTTTGGGTTTTCTTTGAATGAACTAATTAGACCCAAAAAAAAAAAAAAACAGTGTAGTTTCGGGCCCTACCACTATGGTCCAAATTGTGAATCACTTTGATGATTGATTGATTAGCCTTGTTGCTGTAGGCTTCTTGGGCTAACTAAAATCTAATGGGCCAACAAAGCTTTATTGTACAAGCCTTCATTTTTTTATTTTTTTTCTGGGATCTTTCTTATTAAGATGAGCGATAATATACTACACAGATACTGAAACTCAAACCCAAGAGCTTTCCTGAGGAGTAATTACTCCAAACCACTACAGTAATGGGTCATTTCCTAACAAGCCTTCATATTTGTCATGGTGATTGTTACCCGAGTAGAATAGCAGCTGCAGGTTTAGGTATACTCTGTTATACTGGTTTGGAAAGCGCACATCACAAAAATGCATGCACAGACGCACATGCCAATTTGATGTTGGCAGACTTCAAAGAACTAAATTTGCACCAGCCAGGTAGACAGCCTGCAGTCTTAAGCAGAAGTTACAGCTTTGATTCAATTGGTGCTCTGTCCATTGGTAAACATTAAAAAAAAAACCAGCGAAATTAGCCATTAACTATATGATGAGACCAATGACTTGCCATGACATAAAGAAAGAACAATATTGCAGTAGAGAGCACAAAACAATAAGATTCAAATCTGCATTTGTTCCAGAATAGATCCAGTCCATACTGCATATCAAAATATGCTACAAATTATACACACACAATCATATCATAATTGTCAACATCTTCATCACCACCTTCATAGTTATGTGCAATTTGTGTATACACATACACACTGTCAACATAACAACTACAACTGGTCCACTGCCACATTGCTATGTATAAAGCTCAAACTGAGTCATCAACGCAAATGATCACATCCGAGTTATACGAAAATGCTCATGTACAAACTACTGCAGTTCATCACGAACAGCTTCCCTGTTATGAACATTCGCACCAACTTCAACCCCTAATGAGATGTGGAACAACTTTGAACCAAGTACAGCATCAATAGCCACACATGATGACTGAAAAAATAAAACAGCACTAAGGCTTTTCTGACAAGAAATTGACTGTATAACAACATGACTATAACTGGCAGGGCTACCGAAAGTTAGGAGGAGTTAGGGCTGACAATTCTAAAGTTGCATAGAGGAAATAAATGGGGGGAAATTGCATCCTATGTCATTTATGAAGGTATAATATGCAGCAGAGCTAGAACACAAGAAGTGAAAACCAGAACTAGTCATGTAGGATTAATCTCAGTTAAAGAAACAAAATTATCCAAAGGATTTTCCATCACTAAATATTATTGGAACCATTTCTATTTTCTACTGTACCATTGATAAAGACGAAATCATACAATTAGACGTACTGGAATAATCAATGCATGCTCTTGAGTTATAAACACATTAACCAACACGGGAAGTTAATCATTTCAGCATTGGCAGATCAAAAACAATTTCATTCCATCTATAACTTCAAATACTGAGACAAAAATGGTTCAACAAGATATTAAATTTCACTGATCGATTTGCAGAACGCTCTACAGTCTGAAGAATACTTTTACTACTGCTACTAGTATTAAAGTTACCTACAGTTTGCATGAACACTACCAGCCAAAGCATTAACCAAAAACAGGCAGAGAGAAACCAAGAGTCAACCACCACATTACAGAAGCCAGCCACCAGAATGAGCTAAAATTCAGCAACATAATTCCCTCAGATGTTCGACTCTGCTCTCTCCCTCTCCACCTTCTGCCCAAAAAGCTTCGTGGCAAACATATTGTCATCGAAATACTCTTTATAAGGGTGGTTCTTGGGAACAAGCTTCCTAAACTTTTCAAACTGTTTCTCAGCCTCTTTATTCTTCCTCAACATAGTATAAATGATTCCTTGACACAGATAAGGCCTGAAATCTCTCGGTTCTTCCCTCACAAGCTCTTGATAAAGCTTCAAAGCTTCTGAATAATTTGACTCCATCACGCGAATTTGGGCAATTAACAGCTTAAAATCCCTCACATCCGACTTGTTCCCCAGCTTCTTGCAACCCTCCATTGCCTTTTCCACTCTCGTCACCACATTCTCCAATTTCTCGGGGGATTGCGAAGCAGACATCACAAGACCATGATAGGCCTCAACTCGCAAAGGGTCTTTGGCCAAAATCTCCTCGAACTCACTGGTAGCGAGTTCAAACTCACCCATGTAGCTATGAACATTGGCTTTCAGCAATTGCCACTCATAGTCTTCAGGTTCGAGCTCGATCAAGCGGTCCAGCACCTGAATCGCTTCGGTCAATTTGTGGGCTTTGATCCTAACCTCCATCAATGACCTCAGCGCTTCAACATCGTCGGGGTTTTGGCTCAATTGCTCTTCAATGAGCCTCTCTTTCTCTTCGACCGTAACGCTGTCAGTGGACGAAACTTCTTCTCTGGGCTCCACAGTAGAAGGCGCGGCTGTGGGGGAGGCCACTGCGGTTCTGTTGTGGAAGCGCATGAAGAAGAATGCGGCTGCGGCTATGGCGGCGCAAGTGGTCTTGAGGAGAGGGGAGGCGAGAGGGGCTAGGGTTTGGAAGGGTGAGGGTTTAGGGTTTTGGGGGTTTTGGTGAGGTGGGTCGGCGGAGGATGGTGAAGAGGACGAGGACGAGGCTCTGATAGTGAGGGAAGTGAAGTTGAAAGGCGGTGATGAGCTTGGGGGTCTGAAGGAAGAAATTGGTTTTGGGAATGACGGACGGTGGGGATTGAGTGAGAGGTTAAAGGGTTGGTGACGGTGCTGAAGTTTAGCGAGAGACTCCATGGATTGAGAGAAGTAGGGTTTTCTTAAACCCTGGAATGAAGGTGGGGATAGTGGCAGAGAAGGAGGAGGAGGAGGAAGAAGTAGAAGAGAAAGAGAACTAAGAATCAGGAGAAGTTCAAAACCCTGAGAATATGCCGTTTACGCACGTCGGTCCAAAACTACAACATTATTGATCCAGTTAGGCTCCAAACGACGTCGTATATGTCATCAAATTGGACGTAAGCTTTCAGGCCTTGGGCTGAAAATTTCGAACTCCATATTGGTCCTCTTGTTTTTGCTGTTTCCTCAAGTGGGCTTCATCTAGAGTTGGGCTTATATCTAATTTATCCAGTCCAGCAGTTTCCTTAGAAACTGCCATAGGCTTTGTGCTAAGTCCTATTCGTGAGTAGTTATGCTTGTATTTACGTTCCTCATTTTGTGTCCGGTCTGAACAGGATTATTTCAATTAAATTGGACTAAATATAATAACGGTTTCTTTTGGTGAATTTATAATGATGAGATTGGACTCATTAAATTGAATAACAATCCAATATATTATGTTATACAGTCTAACATATTTCAAACCGATCCACCAAATGAGGCTCCACATTTTGAAAAAAAAACAAAGAGAAAAGATGCGATTATAGGTTTTCTTAAATTATTTTTTTCTATGGTTGATTAATAGGCTTAGTTTATACTTAAAGAATATTTTTACCAAACCAAATGTTTGATTAAATTGAAGAGATTTTTAGTTATATACTCATTCTTAGCACTAATAATATAGATAAATTCTACACCATTTAATTTCTATAAACAAACCTAAAAAATGACTGCTTGCTCTATTGAATTTAATTTTAATTATTAAATTACTTTAATGTCCTATTGAGTGTTTTGGGTTTTTTTTTATGAGGTTTTAAGGTTGGGCTTGTTTTAAGAAAGTGATAGCAGTTTTGTAATTTCTAGGAAGTTCGAAGCCTCTTTATTATATTGTAAATGTGTTTTGGATGTGTTTCACTCAACTTTATAAAATATTATATGCAAACATATACTCCAACCCAACAACCATTTCATTATTCATACAAATGAAAAACCCAGTAATTTACCAGAATTATTACCCGGATTATGGTTCAAGGCACATTTTTCCCTCTATAATAAAGTAGCACCTACACATAGGGGCCCGAGAGCAAAACTCAATATAATAAAATATTGATATGTTTCGTGATGCAAGCATGAAGAAAATGATTCAAGATTTTTTACTCGCCGAAGGAAGTGGATGAGAAGATGAGATACCAAAGTGGAGCCCAACCTTTTTTTCGTTTTGAGAAAACGAAGTTCATTGCAAAACTTGGAGACATTACAATCTCGGAGCAGCAGATCTTGAATTAAAACAGGTCAGTCTGCTCACTGTTTCTGGATACCATAAATTTTTTTAAAACTATTTGAAAGTCACAGTTGAATACCTTCACACTGTTAAACTTATTGAGAGTCATTAAAACGTTTGAAAGTTTGGTATATTTTAAAACATTAATGCCACTCTCTCTCTCCACCGAACAAAAACGAAGGGAACCAACAGCGACATATCCAAATGACCCACACACAACAGAATTATTGGGAGAAAATAGACCAAACATAACATATAAAAAAATTTACACACACGAGAGAATTAATTATGAAGATAAATAAATAAAGGCTGGACAAGTAAATTTACAAAACAGTCCAAAGCATCTGCAATGCGAGACGCACACACACACACAAGGGAGGCCAATGGAAGCACAGCGGGCTCTGCCACGTGTACGCCAACCCACCCCAGCCACCCCTGGTTTACAAATCACACTTCCCAACTACTATTGATGACTGCTGGACGACGTCGTATCTGCCGTCCATATTACATGTCGTTATTTGCTGTCGTTTTTTTGGCGGCCTTTACGCCGATGTTTACATAGAGAGGAATAGGTATTGGCTAGCTAGCAATGAAAGCCAAAAGGGCCATCTTATCGGTCGTTGTCTTGAATGAAAAATCAAACTACTTCTCATCATCGTCGTCGTCGGAGCTGTCTTTTTGCGAAAGATCGAAAAGCATCTTCTCGATCCTTTGCTTTGTGATCTCCATCTCAAAGGCTCTAGCTTCCCTGTTCTTTGTGTATGCCTCAAAGAACTCCTTGTTCTCCTTCTCCAACTCCTTCCACACTGCAATTATACAGACTATTTAATAATAATACCATGCAAACACTTAATTCTAAGTGTAACATGCATGTTATGTGTACATAAAGACTTGTGACAGTAAACTCTGCACCTAAGGTCTTGTGTTCGAGTCTCTTATATGGCTTCTCGGGAGAAGAAAAAAAGAAGTGTATATACATAGAGGGGGAATTAATTTGGGTTGGACTGACCTGTGGAGGTAATGATGGGTTTGATGTTTGCATGCTTAGAGAGGGCTTCCATGCACTCTTCTTTGCTCATGTTGAATATGATGCACTCCTCGATTAAATGGTGCACCTGATTAATCATTATAATCATGCATGTCACCACCATTGATCTTCATAAAAAAAACTCTCAAAACAGAAAAACTACTGGATCATATATATTAAATCAAATATATAAGATGGAGATGATGATGATCAAAAAAAGTAGAAGAATATTCATAAAAAATTGCAGCTTATACTGCTATATAGAAGTAAAACAAGCTTACCATGTGGATGTATGAAGCAGAGGAATCGCCCATCTTCTTGTAGTACTTTTCTTCGTTAATATATATATATATATATATATATATATATCCCAATATATAACACCTAATATTTTCCTCTAATAACGCAGAAAGAGGCTGGCTAGCTCAACTTGTTGCAGAAAGAAGGGGGAGAGAGAGTGAGAGGCAAGCAGCTGCTAGATCATAAGAAAACGCAGAGTTGGGATCAAGAAAACCAAAGATGTTGAAACGACTAATGGGTTAAGGTTAAAATAAGAGAAAATCATGAGGAGGGATGGACGATAAATTATATATTTATATGAAAAGTAAAATCAATAAATAAAAAAAAGTGCAGGTGAGTCTTGTGATGTCATAAGGTGGTGTGGGGGCTCCAATGCCCACGTGGGAGAAGCACGATGATTGGTGGAGAGGGGATGAGAGGAGATTCTACAAGCAGCCTTAGTTTGTCTCTTATATGTGGGCACTGAGCCAGTGTCCACGTGACACGCGGGGCCCCTCACCTTCCTACACATGTTAGCAGGTAGGTTTTCATATGCCCAAGTTCTGACTTGGTATATCAAACCCATGCATCATTGCGCCGCCCACACTCCTGCCGCAGCACAAACTTTGGCCCAGTTTCTACCCACCTAGCCCATAATTTCAATATCCTCTCTTCTAAGTTCTAACCTAGCAACTTTATAATAGAAGAGAGCTCAAGTTCGAATTACTGTTATCGAATAAAGGTCGAACTCGATGCTAATGTATTTTTTGACATATATCATAACGGTGGATTTGACTATTGATCATGTTAATTTACAATATAGTAAGAAAATATTTGACGGGATCAATGATTCATAATCATAATTCTAACATAAGTAGTTTACATCAAACGACTCTTGTATTCTAATTTTATAGAAATACTGTTAGAATGTATAGAAGAGATTTGTGAATATATACAGTGGCGGATCTGTATAGGCGCAAGGAGGTGTACCTGCACCTCCGGTGGCCGGAAAACTCCATTACAGCTGCTGGAGTTGCATCTCTACTGGACGCACGCAATCTGTTCGACGAAATGCCTAAACCACTAGCCCAAACTGATTAGAGAGTTGTTGAATAAGCAAATCAGTTGTTTACAGTTAGTATGCATGGATGGGATTGTAGGTTGCTTTCTTTGATCTTATTTGCTCACGAATGGTCTGCTTAAGCCAATAAGATCAAAAAGGCTATCTCCGAGTGGCTAAAAATTGTGCGGCACTTTCCTTCAAGCAGGAGCGATGCAAAGCATGCAGCGCGCTTGTTTTTTTTAAAACGAAGCTTGGCCAAAACGACGTCGTTTTGGACCAGGGTTTTTTAAAAAAAAAAAGAAAAAAAGAAAAGAAAAAGAAGGGGAAACAGCTGGCCATTTTCGTGGGCTTTTCAAAGGGCTTCTATAATTTCTTACTTAATTGGGTTTTAATTGAGAGTTCCCTTTATTCAATTGGGTTTTGGGAATTATTTATTTAAGTGGGATTAGAAATTCTCTTTATAAAAGACCAATTTAACATTACCCAATTTCATCAAAGTATGTGTGCATCACAAGAATCCTGAGTTTTTTTTTTTCTTCTTAAGTATGCCAATCCAAAGTAAATTGAATGCATTTTTTTTTCCTTGAGCAAACGCCAATTTTGTTTATTCTTTTTTTGTTTTTTGAATAATTGTTTTTTCTTATTTAGCTCTCTCTGTATTCGTAAGATTAGTAGCAAACTCGAGGAGGAAGAGGCTTAGTTGTCTTTTTTTAATTAATTAATTATTTAATTAATTATGAATAACATTAATATTGTTTAAATTATAAGGATGTTTAATTGTCTTTTTCTTTTTTCTAAGTTCTTAGCTTTTAAAAATTGCACTTCAGTTGAAAATTTTTTGAACCCGCCGCTGAATATATATGTACTACTACTACTAGTACTGAGGGTATTTCAATAGGTGCCTTTTGTATTCTTTTGCCTTTTATTTGTAGTTTTGTAATTCAGCCAGTTTTGTTGGCATGTGAGCTTTTCTGGTGTATGGGATGGGAGGCATGTGATTTGTACAAATTTATTCACTCAGGGAAGAAAAGATATATGATATGGCCCATATGGACTTGCTATTTAATAATTAATCATGACCTAAAAGTATTAAAAAAAATTAACTTTGTGTTAAAACTGTTGCTTTCACCTTTCACTGACCTATAATTGTGGTTCCATTTACGTGTGTTAAGACAAAGACTTCCAACTAGATAATGTTTGCCCATCCAGAGTACCAAAATTGGCTTCTTGACCGATCACCAAGGCTAGCTAGATATTTTGGTATATATCTTAGTTTTTCACTAGATGATAGAAGGATGGAATTTTCAGAATTAACCACTGCCATGTTGCATCTTTGTTAGAGCATTCACAGCGGGAAGTGTAAATTCGGGGATGTAAAGTCACTTTTACATCCTAT